AGATTTAAGGTTAAGTTTGCCATGAACATACAAGAGATGAATAAAAAAATTAAACAGTCTTGTTTGATGGTGATGGTGACTGACTTAGATGAACCAAAAGAAAAGAAAAAAACTTCAGAAGGGAGTCTTCCCTGGTGCTCCAGTGGTTAAAACTCTTTGCTCCCACTTCAGGGGATGTGGGGTTCAATCCGTGATTAGGGGTTCAATCCCTGATTAGGGAACTAAGATCCCACATGCTGCATGGCATGGCCATAAAAAATATTAATTAAAAAACAAACAAAAAGGTTTCCTTTAAAGACCAACAAATACTTCAGAAAGGTCTTATCATGAGTCCTCCCAGGAATGTGTCTACTTTATTCTTTTCACTCTCCGGACAGATGGCGACCTAGCTTCGCGGTCCCTTCCAGCTGACAGCTCCCTGGCGCCTTCACACAGGCTTGACACGGAGGCCTTGACCCCAACAGCTATAGGAAGAAATTCCTGAGAAATCAAGGGCTCACGGGTCATGTGGGAGAGGCATTCCTCCCAGCTGGAGGGAGACCGCAGGCACGGTTAAATTAAGGTGGGGGCAGCCCGCTGACAGGCTATGGGATTCAGAGCAATTTTCTTCACCTCTCTGAGTTTCAGTTTCTTCATCCGTAAAATGGGCACCCACCCCTTACCCTGTGGGGTTGTAGTAGGGAGTGAGAGAGAAGCGGTAAAGTTAGTGACTGTCTGAGGCTCTGGCACTAAACTCCCAAACAACAGGTATGAGTTCCTGTCCTCAGTGCCCTGGACAAAGTAAAGCCATTAACAAAGACTTAGCGGGCAGAGGGACCACGCAGCTCCGAGACTGAAGTAGTTCTGCGTGGCCAGGAGTCTCTAGCTGTATTCAGCCTACAGACAGTCTTGTTTCTTGTTTCATTAGATACACTGAAATCGCTTATTTCTATCGCTGTCCATGGTAGCGGGAATAACACAGACTCTTGTCGGGAGAATCTAGGATTTCAGGCAGTTTCTTAAAGAGAGCTTCAGCTTTTGGAAAGGGGGATAAAGTCTTCCTGAGGGGGCTTGAAATTGAAGATTATCCTGGCTCTTCTTGCTATCTGGGTGGCCGAGGACTGCGTGATCTTGCATGACTGTAAAATAGGGGTGTGACCACCTGGAGATTAAAAGGATAAAGGGAGCCTTCCGGAGATGGGAGGGCAGACCCCAAGTGCCTCTCCTCCTTGTTCCTCCCCCGAGGGGCCTGGATGGCCGTGAGGCTGGTGGGCGGCCGGGGTAGATGCTCAGGCCGCGTGGAAGTTCTGGTCCAGGACACGTGGGGGACCGTGTGTGACGACCTCTGGGACCTGGCCGAGGCTGCTGTCGTGTGCCGCCAGCTGGAGTGTGGCCAGGCGGTGGCGGCTCCCCCGGGGGCCCACTTTGGGGCAGGTTCCGGGAAGATCGCCCTGGACATCATGCAGTGTGTGGCCAGCGAGAGCCACCTGGGGCAGTGTGGGCATGGGGGCGAGGCCGGGCACAACTGCGGGCACCTGGAAGACGCCAGCGTCGTCTGCACAGGTGAGCGGCCACTGTCAGTCCCTGCCTGGAGGGCTGCTCCTGTGGCCTCCCTACTCACCACCCCTCCACACACACACATACCCCGCCCCCCCCACAGCCCAGTCGCAGAATGTCAGTGGACCAGGCAGGCAGCCTGGCCCCTTCCCAGGTTGTTCAGCCGCCCGACCACCCCCTTAGCTGCAGTGATTGCTGAGTATGACTTACAGGCTGGATCCCAGCTCTGAAGTGGCTGGTTAGGTGTGAAAATTCTAAGCTGAACCTGAATCCAGCCAAATCAGAGGGTTGGGCATAAAAATTCAAATTCTTACATTTTGTGGCAAAAATAAAAGTTGAAGTGCAGCAGGTCCAAAGCAGCAAATTCTTTCGTTACATTAACTGACTGGATCTGAGAAAGCCCTGCTCCTCTGGATGACGAACAGCTTTCCCGTGCACACGGCTCCCACCACTCAAGTTCCCTGTGGGTCCTCAGAAATGTTTGCGCCTGTGACCTCAGGGTGATAGGCCAAGTTGTCAGCTGGTATGCCAGGCCTTCCACATCTGGGCCTGGTGACCTCCCCAGAACTATGTGTCCCTCTGGCTGACTCTGCCCCTGCTACCCTCCCCGTCTTTCCTGATTCTGCCCCACTGGTGACTTGAATAATGTCCCTACAAATGACGAGCTCTCAGGCTGCACATGCCCACCTGGAGCCACCCTTGCCAACTCCTGAGGCCCCCCAGGGAGCAGTGGACCCTGAAGATGTCCTGGGTCAGCCCAGGTTTGCTGCCTGGTCCTGTGTCCCAAATCCCCAGGACATGCCAGGCTCCTCGCAGGCAGAGTCTCGGCCTCTGCCTCCCACCCCTTTCTACCTGCAGGATGTTCACAGTAAACATTCTCCCATTAAGACGTGGTAACATGTACAGTCTCTCTCCACATTACAGGTGCTGATTCCACAGCTGCTCTGCCTACAGGTAGGGCCCGTGTTACGTCTTCTACTAAACTCTGCATGATGTGAGAAGACCATGAGGCTTAGAGTCAGATCCTGGTTTGAGTCGCAGCTTCATTCTTTCACTCGTCTGTTCATTCAACCACGTGCCAGACTCTGTGCCAGTGAAGCATGGAGGCCATGCAGTGGTCAAAGCCCTGGACCTTTCATTCATGGGGTTTACTCCCTAATGAGAGAGACAGCCTGACATATGACCCCCTCAGTTAGACGACCAGAGCCAAGTGATGCCATCTCTCCCTCCCAGCTCATCTCCATTCCTCTTCATTAAAGTGGGAATGATACAGAGAATCTAGTAAGGTCATGAATTTTGTGTGCTCAGTTGCACAGTCACATCTGACTCTTTGCGACCCCATGGACTGTAGCCCACCAGGCTCCTCTGTCCATAGGATTTCCCAGGCAAGAATACTGGAGTGGGTTGCCGTTTCCTACTCCAGTGGATCTTCCCAACCGGAGATCAAACCTGTGTCTTCTGCAGTGACAGATGGATTCTTTATCACTGAGCCACCAGAGAAGCCCAAGCTCATATATTAGACGATACCTAAAGATTCCTGGCACCTGGCAGGCACTCACACAGCCATGGCCCCTTCCTCTGGTCGTGTGCCCACCTAAGGGAGTGCATGTGGGGATCGGAAGGCCCTGAGCTGTTGGAGTACGATCCCGACTGGTTTCTCTTCAGCTGAATAATCATGGGCTTCCCTGGTGGCTCAGAAGGTAAAGAATCTGTCTGCAGTGCAGAAGACCCGGGTTCGGTCCCTGGGTCAGGAAGATCCCCTGGAGGAAGAAATGTCAACTGACTTCAGTATCCTTGCCTGGAAAATCCCGTGGATTGAGGAGCCTGGCAGGCTACAGTCCATGCGGTCACAAAGAGTCGGACACGACTGAGCGACTTAACTAACTTTTCAGTCTCCATGTCATTAGAACAGGCACATTGGATGCCATGCTCCCTAAAATTCTATGCTTTTGATGTTCTGAGACTAACAAGGAGGGAAGAAGTAGCCACATAGGTTAGTTGAATTAAGTGTACACCACTGGGAAAGTGAAAGATGGTTGTTGAAAAACAGAGATGCAGGTCTTACAATAGAAATTGAGAGACACCTTACCCCCTAACATTTTGTTATGAAAAATTTCAGATATACAGAAAAGTTTGAGGGATTTAATGGTTAACTCCTACCTGTATTCTATGATAAATTTATCAATCCATCTATCATTCATCAATTTACCTTTTGTTAAGGTTTGATTTATGTGCCATAAGATTCACCCATGTTAAGATCCAGTTAGATGAACTTTGGTGAATGAACACAGTTGTGTGATCACCACTGCGGTCAAGATACACAACAGTTCCCTCGGCCCCAGGGGTTCCCTCGAGCATTTCAGACCTGCTACCCTCCTCCCTGCCCCCCCCACCAAGGATTTGCTGTGTGACCCTCCTTCCTTTGTTTAGGTGAAGTCACTACGCCCCTGGGGCGAGGGTAACCAAGAGAGAGGTGATAGCCCCCTGACAGCCCGCATACAGCAGGCCACTTGGGGCTAACTGTCTTTGCTTTTGCAAAGTGGCCATGTGGCCCGTGTCAGCTTGTCAACAGGCAGTAACGCCATGTTTTATCCTAAATGGGGATCTCAGGGATGGGAGGTCACTGGCCTTAGCAGTGTCGTCCTTATTCCTGCTGAATCCTGATGGGAGGCAGCTGTCCCTTGGACTAGCTGTTCACCTTCTCTCGATGTTCTGATTCTTCCCTCTCATCACTCCTTCCGTTTTCCCCCGTCAACAGCCCATGAGGACCTACTTCCCACGTCACCAGCAACATCAGTGGCCCAAAACCCACCTGCTTCGGCGCCTCCAGGTAAGGCTGTTCCTTGGGGAGGGACAGAAGTGACACAGCCACATGCCTTTCATCGCCCAGCAGGCCACCCAGGCTTATCCATACATCTGTCTCCGAGCTCCCCTGGAGCCTGTCCTGAGGCCTTATAGCTCTGAACCATTACCTCTGCCACAGGCTATTGACCCAAGCAAAATCAGGCCACAGGCCCCGGGGGTCGAGGACTAGGCAAATAGACTCAGCCTCCTGGGAGGAGCGAGGCAGAGAGCAGAGAGCGAGGCTAGAAGGTGAGCAGTCTTAACCCGCATGTGATTAGCTTGGCATCAGTTCTCAGACTGGTTGGCATCAAAGTGCAATTTTGAGCTTCATCAACATTCTGGTTTCAATTGGTTTGAAGTCTACATGCTTGCAGTCAGCAATTTTCATCTGGTCGGGGTCCACTTCCTGCAAATACAAGTTAGGATTCTGTGTCGGGCCTTTAAAGATGGATACCATCAGACGCCTTAGAGCCGCACGTTGGCATGGGACCCTCGCGGCAGTGTGAAGTGTGTGGGTACAAAGCCATGGAAAGAAAGGAGAGCCAGGGTGGCAGAGGGCAGTCCAGTCCTCAACAGGCAGAGGGAGCGGCCAGCACCCTGAGACCCCTTTCCTCCCCCAGGAGGCTGGGCCCCCCTGCGGCTGGCAGGCGGCCACGGGAGCTGTGCCGGCCGCGTGGAGGTTTTCTACCAGGGCGCCTGGGGGACGGTGTGTGACGACCTCTGGGACCTGCTGGAAGCAAACATTGTCTGCCGACAGCTGGGCTGCGGCTGGGCCGTGGAGGCCCCAGGCGAGGCCCACTTTGGGGAAGGTTCCGGAAAGATCCTCCTGGACAACGTGCAGTGCAGGGGGCAGGAAGAGCACCTGGAGGAGTGCTCCCACACTGGCTGGTTTGCCCACAACTGCGGGCACGGGGAGGATGCTGGCGTGGTCTGTTCAGGTAACCCCACTCCCTTCCCACGCAGAACCCAGCTGGGCCCTTTTGAAAAAGTCCTTTCCTGGGGACAGTGTGAAAAATCACAATTGAAAGTAAAGCAGGACAGGAGCTTCCTTGGCAGTGCAGTGGTTAAAAATACTCCTTCCAGTGTGGGGAACTTGGGTTCGATCCCAGGTTGGGGAACTAAGATCCCACAGGCCGCAGAGCAACTAAGCCTGAGCACTGCAATTAGAGAGCCTGCAACAAAGAACCAGTGCAGCCAAAACTTTGAGAAAAGAAAAGAAAGCAGGATGTTTTTCACTGACAGCAGATGTTTTCATCTCTCCCACTTACAGATGCTGAATACTCAGTGGCCTTGCTACCAGGTGGGGAAGGGGGTGTTCACGTGTGTGGTTTGTGAAAACCTGGTGGGGGGGAATTCTGCAGGAAATTGAATGGGTTTTGTCCTCCAAGTCCATAGAGCAGCTCAGAGATGTGGATGCCCACTGGGAGAGAGGAAGAGCCCTTGGAAGTCATTTGTTCCCACCTCACCTCCTACCTCTTCAGTTCACTGTGCATTTCACACTCAGGAAGCAGATTCAAAATTTCCTAAACTTTTGCACGGCACTTTGGGGTTTTGAGGGGCTGGCAATAAGAAGCAGGTGGGGAGTGGTTGAGGTGGGAGAGGCAGTTACGGACACTTTCTGCCCACGGGCAGCAGAAGGCTGATGGGCCAGACCTGGCCAAAGTCAAGGCTCAGTTTAATTCCTACCCTCTCCTGGCCTCTCTCTGGTCCTGGGCATTCTGGCCCCATACTGCTTCCTTGCTGTTGATTTTTCCACTTGCTCTCAGCGTCAGTACCTGGAGTTTTCCACACCTGTGCCCCGTCTCCTTTATCAAACCCCTAGTCCCTTGATGCCTTGCCCTTGGCCAGCTCCTGGCCAAAGGGTGAGTCATGACCAGAGCTGAATGGACAAGGTCTGATAAAGCTGCAGTCACATCCCCTCCTGGGCTGCCAGCCTTTAGGAGGTAGGAATGGATTGGTCCTTGGACCGAGTCCCCAATAGGAAGCTCTGGGCCAGGTGTTGCTGGCTGGAGAGATGTTGGGGACAGGAAGGAGCCACCGTGACCTTAGGCCCTGACCCACCGTCTCTGAGCAGCACAGGACAAAGGAAGCAGTCAGTCAGTGCCTCCTCCTGTACTTGCATTGAAGCCTCATAACTCCCCACACTGGGGTCACAGAAATTGACTACAGGAGCCAGAAGGTCACATCTTTCATTTTCTTAAATTCCCAAATTTTAAAATATCTCATTTACATTCTCTGATTCTCTGTATCCTTCCCTGTCCTTTCTTTTTCATCTTCCTTTTTTTTTGTTTGTTTGTTTGTGTTTTGTTCCTCTCCTCTTGCTGGTATCGTGGACTTTCAGAAGCTCCATTAAACTTTTCTTAGTGCCTCTTGGAGATAAAGGGCTAGGATAACATGACAAGAGAGTGAGTGCATCAAAGTCCGAAAGATCCGGATCAGTGCTTCTTCCCTCCTGCACGTGATCGCCCCCTGCATGCTCTGCTTCACCCCCAGAGGCTGGCTCGGAGTTCTGGGAGGGGCCCTGATGACGTATCTCTTACCAGCTCCTCGGAGGCTCCTTGTGTGGGTGTGCCGCCCTCAATGCCAGCCGACAATCCTGTGTCCTTTGTGTTTGACAGGTCCCCCTTTGGATGTCATGGCGGAGACGGAGGCTGCAGGTGAGACCAGGCTGTCCTTGGTTGCCCTGATCATCATCATCTAGCTCAGGCCCTAAAGTGATTTTTCTTTTTTTTTTTTTTCATTTATTTTTATTAGTTGGAGGCTAATTACTTTACATCATTGCAGTGGTTTTTGTCATACATTGAAATGAATTAGCCATGAATTTACATGTATTCCCCATCCCGGTCCCCCCTCCCACCTCCCTCTCCACCCGATCCTTCTGGGTCTTCCCAGTGCACCAGGCCCGAGCACTTGTCTCATGCACCCAACCTGGGCTGGTGATCTGTTTCACCCTAGATAATATACATATTTCGATGCTGTTCTCTTGAAACATCCCACCCTCGCCTTCTCCCAGAGTCCACAAGTCTGTTCTATACATCTGTGTCTCTTTTTCTGTTTTGCATATAGGGTTATCGTTACCATCTTTCTAAATTCCATATATATGTGTTAGTGTGCTGTAATGGTCTTTATCTTTCTGGCTTACTTCGCTCTGTATAATGGGCTCCAGTTTCATCCATCTCATTAGAACTGATTCAAATGAATTCTTTTTAATGGCTGAGTAATATTCCATGGTGTATATGTACTACAGCTTCCTCATCCATTCGTCTGCTGATGGGCATCTAGGTTGCTTCCATGTCCTGGCTATTATAAACAGTGCTGCGATGAACATTGGGGTGCACGTGTCTCTTTCAGATCTGGTTTCCTCGGTGTGTATGCCCAGAAGTGGGATTGCTGGGTCATATGGCAGTTCTATTTCCAGCTTTTTAAGAAATCTCCACACTGTTTTCCATAGTGGCTGTACTAATTTGCATTCCCACCAACAGTGTAAGAGGGTTCCCTTTTCTCCACACCCTCTCCAGCATTTATTGCTTGTAGACTTTTGGATAGCAGCCATCCTGACTGGCGTGTAATGGTACCTCATTGTGGTTTTGATTTGCATTTCTCTGATAATGAGTGATGTTGAGCATCTTTTCATGTGTTTGTTAGCCATCTGTATGTCTTCTTTGGAGAAATGTCTGTTTAGTTCTTTGGCCCATTTTTTGATTGGGTCATTTATTTTTCTGGAGTTGAGCTGGAGGAGTTGCTTGTATATTTTTGAGATTAATCCTTTGTCTGTTGCTTTGTTTGCTATTATTTTCTCCCAATCCGAGGGCTGTCTTTTCACCTTTCTTATAGTTTCCTTTGTTGTGCAAAAGCTTTTAAGTTTCATTAGGTCCCATTTGTTTATTTTTGCTTTTATTTCTAAAATTCTGGGATGTCCTAAAGTGATTTTTCGAGGAAATTGAGCAAAATACTACTGCCCTGTCTAGGTCACCCTCTGAGCCTACATTCTGAGTGACTTGTCCAATAATGAAGGTTCCAGTTCCATTTCTATTAGTCCTAGAAGGTAATCCAAATGATCAAGTGTGGTCAGCCTTCCTGGTCTCCCAGCACAGACACCACACGTGCAGGACAGATGTGTGGCCATTAGTACCGCCACATTGCCAGGGCACTGCCCCAGGGCACCATTTCAGAGGGCTTTCACCACAGTGGGCACCTTCTCTGCCCTCTCTCCTTCTCTGACTTTCTGTGTCCTTCCCTGTCCTTTCTTCTTCATCTTCCTTTTTTGGTTTCTCTGCTTTGGCTAGGATCCTGGGCTTTCAGAAGCTCCACTAAACTTTTCTTAGCACCACTTGGAGTTGAAGGGCTGCTGCTGCTGCTGCTAAGTCGCTTCAGTTGTGTCCGACTCTGTGTGACCCTATAGACGGCAGCCCGCCAGGCTCCGCCGTCCCTAGGATTCTCCAGGCAAGAACACTGGAATGGGTTGCCATTTCCTTCTCCAGTGCATGAAAGTGAAAAGTGAAAGTGAAGTCGCTCAGTTGTGTCCAACTCATCGTGACCCCATGGACTGCAGCCTACCAGGCTCTTCCGACCATGGGATTTTCCAGGCAAGAGTACTGGAGTGGGGAGAGTTGAAGGGCTAGAATAACATAATGCCTGGAGCGCCTAGCTGGTCCTTCTAGCCAACAGCTCTAGCTCAGTGACTGGAGCCAGCTACGTGTAGGTCCACTTCTTACACAACCAGGTAATCTGATGGAGAAAGCTGTTGCTGGAGCTGTCACCTTTCATTTTGAACTAAATATTGGGCAGATGGATAAACAAACCGACAAGCAGGTGGAGAATCAAATGGACAGTGGGTGGACAGATGGACACAGGACAAATCAGAGTTGAAGAGGGTGGATTACTCACGGCAACTTCTTTCCACTTAGTGGATTTTCAGTGGTCTAATTTTAATAAATTACAAGTGCTAGTGGGTGAACACTGCCATCTTCATATATAGAAGCTCCACATGAGCTTGACCTTAATTGTGAAAATAAAGTAGTTTATTCATTACTACTGATGACATGATAAAAATCAAAGCTTTAGGATATAGGACCCACTGTAACCAAAACTCGAATCTGGCTGCTCACTGATCAAAAGCCAAGAAAGAGACAAATTTGGTGGAAAGGAAAGTTTGCCTTATTTTGGATGTCGGCAATCAGGGGCTGGGGGAATGGCACCTGTCCAAAAGCTGACTCCCCTTTCCCCAACATTCAGGGAGCAAGAGCTTTTACAGGCTGAAGGAGGGGGCTACATGCAGAAACAACACAGTCAGCTCTGACAGGTGTTATCTTGATACAGTTACAGATTGATTCAGTTCAGTTCAGTTGCTCAATTGTGACCAACTCTTTGTGATCCCATGGACTGCAGTATGCCAGGCCTCCCTGTCCATCACCAACTCCTGGAGTTTACTCAAACTCATGTCCATTAAGTCGGTGATGCCACTGAACCATCTCATCCTCTGTCATCCCCTTCTCCTCCCACCTTCAATCTTTCCCAGCATCAGGGTCTTTTCCCATGAGTCAGTTCTTCACATCAGGTGGCCAAAGTATTGGAATTTCAGCTTCAACATCAGTCCTTCCAATGAACACTCAGGACTGATCTCCTTTAAGATGGACTGGTTGGATCTCCTTGCAGTCCAAGGGGCTCTCAAGAGTCTTCTCCAACACCACAGTTCAAAAGCATCAATTCTTCGGCACTCAGCTTTCTTTATAGTCCAACTCTCACATCCATACATGACCACTGGAAACACCATAGCCTTGACTAGATGGACTAGACAAATTAATTAGGTCCAGTTAATTTTCAGTTTCAGGGTCAGCTTGTTTCCATTTCTTCTGAGGCCAGTTCTCAGAACTGTGGCAGCTTCTGTTGTGGGTACACTCTGCTCATTATATAGTTAACTTCTCCACCTGATGCGTGT